AAATATTCTAAAGAGTCCAGTAGCCCATAATAGCATTGGGTCTTCTGTTTAACTGGCAATGTCAGAAATTATTGACCTGAGTCCCCCACAGCTCAATATAACAACATGGCTTTACTTCCTATATTTCGTCTTCATACTTTTCTAGTGGATGGTTAAGACCAAGGTAAAGCAGGACCTTACATATATATTTTATAGCAGAGTCTCTGCTTTTCTTGATGAACTGTGTGTGGATAATCTTCATATTGACAAGTTGCAGCTCTGGCTCTGCTCAAGCACACGAGAAAAATGTAGTTCTTTCGTTTCCATAACTGACAGTGCAAAATAAAAACCGCCCTCCCAATTCCTTCACTCTAAAAAGAGTGCTTCTCTGAACATTGGTAAAATAAGATAAAATTCATATAGGACAGCCAAAACTGAAACAAACATGATAAATACCCTGGGTGATGGCCAACTTCTTAATGTTGATGATTGTGTTGGGAGATGTAACATGCTAACAGAGGCAGCTGAGGGAAGGGCCTACAGCACCCTCTGCAATAAATAACTTTTGCAGTTCCCCGTACGTACGTCTAAAATACTTTCAAAATAAGCACTTAAAATGTATTGATCACTTGAACAATTTATCTAATTAAAGTATTTAGAAAAGAGGAAAAGGTTCCTTTTTATAAAGAATATCTGCACTTGTTCTTTCAGGTCCTCCTTTCCAAGATGACGAAAAAAAGGAGGAACAACGGTCGTGCCAAAAAGGGACGTGGTCATGTGCAGCCTATTTGCTGCACGAACTGCGCCCGGTGTGTACCCAAGGATAAGGCCATTAAGAAGTTTGTCATTCGGAACATAGTGGAGGACGCCTCCATCAGGGACATTTCCGAAGTGAGTGTCTTTGATGGCTATGTGCTTCCCAAGCTGTATGTGAAGCTGCATTACTGTGTGAGTTGTGCCATTCACAGCAAAGTGGTCAGAAATCGATCTCGTGAAGCCCGTAAGGACCGAACTCCTCCACCCCGATTTAGACCTGCTGGTGCTGCCCCACGACCTCCACCAAAGCCCATGCAAGGGGAGCTGGGGCTTAATGGACTAGAGAAAACTCTCTTGAGAAGGAAATAATAAATTGAATGTTATACTTTTTACAGCATGTTGAGTATACTTGCCAGAGGTGGGTTTGGTTAATTCAACCTAAGTTTAAGTTTGTACTCTGAAAATGAATAAAGAGGAACACACTGGAAGGGGTTTCAGGAGCATAAAAAAAAAAAAGAAAAGAAAAGAATATCTGCACTTGATGCAACATATATGCAATGTGGCTGAAAACTACGGTGAATGTTAAATTTGAGGGTGGAGGGAGTGTCTGTTTGTTTCTTGAGAAAGCAACTCACTCTGTAGACCAAGCTACACTTGAACTCACTATGTATCCAAGGCTGGCCTGGAATTTGTGTGGATCGTCCTGTTTCGGCCTCCCAAGGGCCTCCCAAAGACCAAATCCTCCCAAGGATTACAGGCATGCACCACCACACCTGCCTGGTTTAGTGCTTTCTAATTTTAATTTAATTTTATATTTTGAGTCAGGGTCTCACTTTGTAGTTCAGCCTGGCCTTGAACTCACTATGTAGCCCAGGCTAGTCTTCAACTCATGGCAATCCTTCTATCTCAGCCTCCCAAGTGCTGGGACTTCAGGTATGTACCACCATGTCTGGCCAATTTTTTTTTAAATTCATCACATTAAGACACAGTACTGGGGCCAGCGAGATAGCTCAGCAGACTAAAGTGCCTGCTTAGGCAACCCCAGCGACCACAGTTCCATTCTGGTACCGCATGCCATGCCAGCCCTGCGCCCAGGGCAGGCAGAGCTGGCCATAAGGAGTGTAGTGGTGCACACCTGTAATCCCAGTGCTGGGGAGCCTGAAAAACAGGAGGATCACTATGAGGCTGAGCTGCATAGTAAGACCTTGTAACAACCAAATACATTTTTAAAAAATAAAAATAAACAACAGTGCTGGGCTGGGCTGGGCTGGGGAAATAGCTCCACAGTCTTAGCGCCTCCCTGGCAAGCACAACAACCCAAATTCGATACCCGTTACTGCATGCCATGCCAGCCCTGGAACTCCGAGCGCAGGGTGGAAGTCCCCCAAACAGGTGTGGTGGTGCACACCTGTAATCACAGCGCCAGGGAGACAGAGACAGGAGGATCCCTACGTGTCTCAACTGCACAGTGAGACCCTGTATGAAATAAATATTGAAAAGACACAGGGCCATTTAATCCTCCTCTAGATACTTCCTGT